ATTAAAAAAAAAAAAAAAAAAAAAACTAGCATTCTCATAAGCATATTAGCTCCAAATTGCTAGTTCAGAAAGTCTTGGAGATAAGAGTTCGAGATTTAAACCATTTAGATGCCCTAAATACCTGGTTAACCTCCACAGTTAGACCCGCTAACATTGTGAATTGTATCATTAAAGCCTATTTCTCCTATCTCCTTGGGTAAACCACTAGCGTTACCAATGAGGATTACAAAAGTAGAATTGTCGAGCTTGGCCTAGGCCAAGTAGAGTAGCGTTTCAAGGCTACTAGGTATCATTATCTTATGGAAATAGCTAGGAGTCTTTTGGACTAAGGTATTTGCACGATAAATCCATCTTGAGATGGGTGAAGAACCACTCAGGTAAACTCAATAGTTGATTGACACTTAAGGTTGTTCTTCCATATCTTTTTGACTTATAGTGGTTTCTTTGGAAACCCAACTAACCTTATACAAATATGTTTAGAGAGAGGTAATGTAATGTCCTATGATACAGGACAAGGTTGTGCCTCCACCATTAATACCGATCATTCCCTATCAAAGCAATGTAAGTTGATTAAGTCTAAAAAAATAGTCAAGTTGGTTCACCCCAAAGTTTAGTTACAACATCTAGCAAATATGTGGTGCTAAAACAGTTGAACAAGTTTAGGGTTTAGGGTTTGTAACAAGTAAGAGAGCTACTTGGAGCTTTGAAGCCTCTCCAAAAACTCAAATAGTTATAGAACATAGACTTGAACTCCGTGTAAAGTCTAGAGAAAAACCCATGGCAACGTAGTAAGGTAAGGATGCGATTAGAGCCTACAAGTAGGTTGATTACTAAGTATATTTATACTTACCATATTCTACTTTTCTTTTTCAAGTGATCGTTGACTGCTGGTCAAGGTGAGAGAGTATCCGAGAGTTGTACAGTCATAGAGGAGGGTCATCATGAGGTGTTAGTTTACATTTATGGTTGTGTCCTTTGAAATGTTGTATCTTAAACCTTGGTAACTATTTTGTAATAAATTTCGAAATGACACTTGATTTGTAATTGTTTTGAAATTGTCATTTAAATACAATGTCATTTGATTTTAAATTTTACAAAAATTTATCGTATTTTTAGTGTCAATCCATATTATAGCTCGAAAGATCACAAGAATTGGGAGAAATCTGTCAAACGTATTGAAGAATGAAATTGACTATTAGCCTTATAGAATACACTGAAAACAAATAAAAACAGCTCGAGTTCTATGACTAAATCAAATCTAAATCAATCAAATAACTAAATTAAATAATCAGACATCCCTTAACAATAGGAAGGTTAGCTAAATCTGAAATAACAAAACCTAACCATTCCTCCCCAACTTAACACAAATAATAATCTGTTTATATCTATGTCAGACCAGACTCCCAATAGTCCTCGTAACTTCAAGAAAACATCGAGTTTTAGTGGTTTAGTCATTACATAACTCCATTAAATTTAGTGGTTCATTGAATTTCGTCTTATAAATCCATTTTACTCCAACCTTATTTCTACCCTTAGGTAACTCCATCAATTCCCATGTGTCATTTATGTTTATTGCTCCCATTTCTAGATCCATGACTTAGCCTCCATTTCTCACTCTTCAATGCGTCTTCAAAGTTTACAAAATTTATCGAATCAGTAGTGGTAAACATGGCCAAGTGAGCTTCATTATCTTCTTCAAAAAGATCTCTTGTTGCATAGTTTCTCATCCAGACTGATGGCCTCCTATTCCTCCCCTTATTCGAGGCAGCAGAGCTTGCTTCAGCCAAAGAGCCAAAGAAAATATTTTCATCTGCAGCTTCTATATCAGATTCGCTCCCTTCTTCATTTTCATGAAACACATTTGGTGCCTCCTCTTGATCACCCTATTTTAGATCTCACATAATGGATTCTTCATAGGTCTTATCCCAATCTCAACTCTTATCTTTCTCGAATACAACATCCCTACTTATTATAATCCTTTGTGAAGTTGGATCATAGTGTCTGTAAATCTGACTCTTCACTAATTCCTAACAAAACACAACTCAAACTCTTCTCATCAAACTTAGTTCTTTTACTATCTGGCATATGAACACAAGAGATACATCGAAAAACTCTAAAATGCTCAACGGAAAGTTTAACTCCACTCCAAGCTTCTTCTGGAGTTTTATTTTTAACAGTCAATGTTGGACTTCGATTCAGTGCACACAGTCCAGTTGACTGCTTCAAGCCAGAAATTTTTCGGAATTTTCTTTTCTAAAATCATACTACGAACCATATTCATAATAGTTCTCTTTTTTCTTTTCGCAACTTCCTTCAGTTGTGGCGTGTATGCAGCTTTCAGTTGTCTTTGTATACCATTTACATCACAAAAATTGGTGAATTCTTG